CTAAATCATTGAAATACCGAATATTGGGGAGGTACCGATACATGGGGGCTATACGAAGACCTGTACCTACATAGACAATTTTCTGTCATATTTTCTGTAACAATTACAGTGACTAATGCCGCAAAAACCTATCAAAATACCGAATAAAGGAGGTACAGTTATTAAGGGTCTATACCTAAACGTTGACCTATCATCAAAATACCGAATATAGGAACGTACAGTTATATGGGAGCTATACCTAAACGTGGACCTATATAGCCCATTTTCAATACCAAAAGTCCTGCAGACCAAATACACATCTGAGTAACATTCAATTCATTCGAAAGCTAGAGTGATTTCCACAGACGAACGAACGGAGGACGGGCGGTCATCGTTAAATCTTTGTGGGATCTAAAATGTATATTTCGAGCTTTTACAAACGGAATGACAAGCTTTATATACCCTCCATACTATTGTGGAGGGTATAAAAAACTGAAATATTTCCTATTTCTTTAAGCATTTCTTCCTCGATCTTTGTTCAACTTGATGCATGGATACCCCACAAAGTTGTCATATGCCTAGGGTAAATATTTTTCGATATATGTACCAGCTGATACTTCCTAAACTAGATTTACCCATTATATTTACTCATTTGAACATCCACATTTGAATATAGGAAATCTTTATATATAAACATCAATTCCGTATTTGATTTAGCATCTCTGTAAAATATCTTGCTAAAAATTACGTTTCGAATTCTGTGTTGCAAAAACTTGTTTAGACCAATATTATTTATCCACAAATATAAATAAAAATATATGTATATAGATATATATCGCTATTTATGATATTTAAACCCCATAATTTATCTGCTTTAAATGGTGTTCCTCATTTCTTTTATCACTTTTTTTTTGTCTAGATAATGCTGTTCTAATACTAAATGTTCAATTTAAATTGAACGAGCGTAACGGTTACGAATTTGCCGATGTTGACAAATTCCAATTGGATTGGATCGAGAATGGTGGCATTCAATTCCATTTCAATAATCTATTCAATGGCGATAAAGCTTTGGAAGATGGAGCTCTGGCTTTGTTGAATGCAAACTGGAGTACCCTGTTCGATGTTCTGCGACCTTCGCTGAGTCAAACGAATCAAGTTGTTGTAAAGATATTATAACTAAAATATTTGCCTATGTACCGGCGAATTATTTAATGGAGGAATAAAATTTGAATATATCATATAAATGTGTTGTTTATATGATTTTAAATCAACATAACTCGGGCATGGTAATTTGCTATATTGTGTCAAAGGGGAATTATCCTTGCTAACAACTATTGGTAATAAAAATACATGGACAAAGGCCCTATAGGCCATATATATTTTTTTTCAATAATTACAGAAAAAACCGAACATATTATGAAAGTGGAGCTAAAAATAGAAGGTAGAAGTGTATCTACATTTTGAATGCTTACATTCCAAATTGAGCTAAACAGATGGGATATGTTCCCCCTCTTCCACATTTTTTCTCCAAATTTTTGGACTAGGATTATTGGAACAGATTATGAAAGCAGAGCTAAAAATAGAAGATAAAAGTGTATCTGCTTTTTGAAAGTTTACATCCCAAAGTAAGCTAAATAGAAGGGTAAGTTAGCCCACTTCCAAATTTTTGCTAAATTTTCGGACTAAGATTCTTTGGAATCTATGCATTTTAGGTATATAGGGTGTTAATGTCAAAATCGTAGGTGAAGGGAAAACATCCCTAATACTGGCAACTCAGGTTTTCCTGGTTCATTTCCAAAGATTTTCCTTACCTACACCTTGACATTGTCGCTCACTTATTCATACAGGTCATTTCTAAGCCACTCGTCCGACAGCTGTTCAAATTATTGTGTGATAGCTCATTATATTGTTTACAAGCGTACAAAAGAATTTTGGTGAGAATTTTTCAGAAAAAAAAGTTATTCGTGATGGAATTCAAGCGTGATTGTGTGATTTCTTTATAATTGGCTGGAAAAACCACAAGTGGCTATCGTTAGAGCACTCCAGCATTTAAATGTGAATAAATCTTTTGTGTCTCGTAACATTGCTCGTTACCGTGATACTGGAAGCGTAGCCCGACATAAACGAAGTGGACGGAAGCAACATCAGCAGAAATGCTGAAGCGACCGCATCGCAGTGGTCGAAAAATGGCTCGTGAGCTGAATATATCGCAATATTCCATTCGGCAAATATTGAAAAATGAGCTCGGTGTAAAGCCAAAAAATGCAAGAACTTTCACCGCAACAGAAAGGAAATAGATTCAAAAGAGCTAAGGAGTTGCTTTGCTTGGCCGAAAGTGGTGAACTGCCGAATTTGGTTTTCTCCGCCTCCGATGAGAAAACATTCGTTGTCCGGCAGTTCGTAAACAAACAAACGAACAAATGATCGTGTTTACTTGCCAAAGAGGTCAGCTGAAATGTGCACCTCCGGTTGGCCATCAGAACACAAGCGCCGGAAATGGTGATGGTGTGGGCCGCCATAACAGCCGGTGGTTGCTCTCCGCTCGTATTAATCAACCTCAGAATAAATTACGAATATTATTGCGAAAATATGGTGGAGGGTGTATTAAAGCCTTGGGTACGCAAACATTTTGGCCGCAGACCTTGGACATTCTAACAGGACTACCGGCACTATCGCACTCAGCACGCGCCACCCAAGAAGTTACAAAATGAGGTTCCTCATTTCATTTCCAGCGCACAATGGCCACCAAAATCTCCGGATACCAATCCGTTGGACTGGATTGTGTCTGGAGTATTTTGGAAAGCAAGGTTGGCACTAAGAAAAATACCAAAGTGTCGATCACCTCAAGCAAGTGCTTCGCCGGGAATGGGCCAAATACCGCAGAGCAACATTCGGGCAGCGTGTGTCGGTTTCATTGGCCGTTTGAAGGCCATAATTCGTGCCAAAGGTGACCAATTCGAACAAATCTAAACTTATTCTAAAATTTGCTGCTATTTCCGACATTTTTTGCTTTTATTCAATAAAATTAAAAATTATGGTGTTTAACTTTGTTGCAGTTTTATTTATCTCACCCTGTATTTTTTCACAACTTTGATGCAATTTTATTCCTGATATATAATGGAAATAAAGATTAATTTTCTGTGGCGACTAATAGTAAAATTTGGCGTAGAATCTGTCCTCTCTTGAAATTTTCTGTCAAAGACTAATTTTTATATTACTTTCATACATCAACTTGAAAAAAAATAAACCCAAAAAAATTCTCTGAAAAAAGGAGAACATATTTTCGCGTTTTTGACAACATTGGTACAAGTGTTTTCTGGGTATAAAATGAAAATAAATGTTTAATTTCTTTGGTGACTTATAGTAATATTTTATGAAGAATAATTTTGCCTTTGACATCATCCTCCTAAAATAATGTTTAGTGGAAGAATATTTCATAAACTCACAGGGAGTACACCTTTAACACTAAAATGTGTATTTTTAACATTTTGGTAAGAATCGGAATTTTGATGTAGTCTGGGATAGAATTTTAAGACAAATAATTTTGTAGAATATTCTTACAACGATTCCGTTTAAAGGTAGTTCTACAAATTTTGAAAAATAAGACCAAAATGAACCTTTGGTGACTCGCTTGAGGTTTCTGTTACAATAAACCTTCTAATGCCATCAGTAATATATTCCAAAAATTCCAATGAATCTTAACCCGAAAATTTCGAAAAAAAATTGAAGATATAGGATCTTGCCGCCTCTATTTAAGTGACTTAACGCTATAAGCTTTCAAAACGCCGTTACATGTATCTTCTATTTATAGAACTACTTTCATTTTCTACAGTATTTTTCTTTTTGTGTTCCATGGTGTAATTTACAAGGTAGGCCACCAGAGATGCAACCAAAAATATATTTCTTTCTTATGGCAGCCTTGTGTTCTGTTCCCTGTCATCCTTGCAAATTATTGGGCCAATGACTCTATCGTTTACACGTGCTTCCCCCAAGGTATCACTCCTAAAACAATGCATTTACATTCCAATGGATTAATTATGGTACGAAACCAGTTTTCAATTTGTATAATAATAAAGGAAACAAGTATAAAAGCTGTAAGTTCGGTCGGGCCGAACTTTGAATACCCTCAACTATTTGGAACGATTTTGGAAATTTATAAAAAAAATAAAATCCGTTAAAAATTCTGTTAAAAATTTTAAAATACCGGATGTACCCGTTATATTTGGGTCTATACGACGACAAGGACCTGCATAGGCAACTTTTGTCATAAGCCATTAAAATATAAAAATGCGAAACTTGAATAAAAAAAATTGGTGAATAATGTAGCTAAAATCATAAAAATTCCGAATATGGAGAGGTAATGTTATATGGGGACTATACGAAGACGAGGACCTGCACAGACAACTTTCTGTCACAGGATGTAGCATCCGTAACGAACTTCAAATACCAAATTTGAAACAATTCTGATGAATAATGACGCTAAAATCATCAAAATGCCGAATATCTGGAGATACCATTATTTGGAAGGCTATACGAAGACGTGGACCTGCACAGACAATTTTCTGTCATAGGCTGTAGTACCCTTTACGAACTTCAAATACCAAATTTAAAACAATTCCGATGAATAATGTCGCTAAAATCATAAAAATACCGAATATCGGGAGGTACCGTTATATGGGGGCTATACGAAGACGTGGACCTACATCACCAATTTTCAATACCAAAAGTTCTGCAGACATAATACACATTTGAGTAAGATTTTATCAACCTACTTTATTTCGTTCGGAAGATAAAGTGATTTCCACAGATGGACGGACATCGCCAAATCGACATAGAATTGTTTGCTGATGGGGGGTCCAAAATTTATATTTCGAGGTGTTACAAATGGATTGATAAACTTAATATACCCTCCATACTATGAAGGAGGATATAAAAATAATTAAAAATTATTTGCAATTTTGTTATTTTATATTGTTTAAAAAAATATGTACTCATTTATAAACAAACATCTAAGCCCGAATTCCCAACAGTCTAACAAGATTTCAACAGCACAACGGATTAATACTTTCTAATCAATATTTTTTTAATTGTCTGTAGTATTTTTTAAAAAAAAATCTATAATAAATTCGTTTAAATAAATTGATAATATGGAAATTTCAATACAATTGTGTAGTATTCTTGTTGCCCTTATATGGCTCGGATCATTGGAGGTTAATGGGGCAAAATTCCTCGCCGAAAAACGTAAGTGTGAAATGTCACATTTTTCTGTTCTAATAAATGTTTAATTTTTATATTTTCTATTGCAGCGGCATTTTTGGATATTTGCAAGCGTTCGGATAGCGAATTTGGTAAATGTTGGGCCAAAAATCTAGAAAAGATGTTCAATGGATGGAAATCAGGTAAGTTTGCCAAAAAATGTATTTGCATGCCAATAATTTAAATTGGAACCAAAATTTAAAATTTTGTTTGGTAAAGATATGTTACAGTTATGGCCGTTTTTCAAAGGAGTCTCATTTTTGACTTGTTGATCGACATTCGCATTATATCATGGAAATTGGATTAAATTTGGTTACTTCCTTTTATTTGAAACTTACGAATATTTAAGATTTGAAACAATTTGTAACTCCTTTTTTATGGGAAGTCTCACCCCATCAAATTTGAAATAGATGAGGAGAAAAAAATCCAGCGGATAATGAAAGCAGAGTTAAACATAGAAGACACGTGCATCAATGTTTTGAAAGTTTGCATCGCAAATGTTCCTAAAAGAGGGGAAAAGATCCCCCTTCTACAAGATTTTTTTTTAAATTTTCGGCTTAAGATCGGTTTATTTTAGGCATATAGTGTCTTTTTCAATTATTACAGTGAAAATCAGTTGGTTATGAATAAGAGCTGAAAATAGAAGACACGTACAGGGTGAGATTAAAAAAAACTTCAACAAAGTCAAACGCCATAATTTTTACATTCTGTTTTAAATTTTATTGAATGAAAGCAAAAAATGTCGGAAATATAATCAAATTTTAGAATAAATTTCGATTTGTTCGAATTGGTCACTTTTGACACGAATTATGGCCTTCAAACGGCCAATGAAACCGTCACACACTGCCCGAATGTTGCTCTGCGGTATTTTGGTCCATTCCCAGCGAAGCGCTTGCTTGAGGTGATCAACACTTTGGTATTTTTTAGTGCCAACCTTGCTTTTCAAAGTACTCCAGACACAATAGTCCAACGGAGATTGGAAATGGAAATGAAGCGAACCTCATTTTGTAACCATTCATTCACACTCAGGATGGTGCTGAGTCCTGTTGGAATGTCCAAGGTCTGCGGCCAAAATGTTTACGTGCTCAAGGCTTTAATACACCCTCCGGAATATTTTCGCGATAATATTCGGCATTTATTCTGATGCCACGGTCGATTAATACGAGCGGAGATCGACCATCGGCTGTTATGGCGGCCCACACCATCACCATGGCCGGCTCTTAAGTTCTGGTGGCCAACCGAAGATGCACATTTTCAGCTAAACTTTTTGGCAAGTAAACACTGCTGGACAACGAATGTTTTCTCATCGGAGAAAACCAAATTCGGCAGTTCACCACTTTCCAAGTCGGCCAAGCGAAGCAACTCTTTAGCTCTTTTGAGTCTATTTTCTTTCTGTTGCGGTCTAAGTTCTTGCACTTTTTGCAATTCAATGGCTTCACCCCGAGCTCATTTTCAATATTTGTCGAATGGAATATTGCGATATGTTCAGCTCACGAGCCATTTTTCGGCCACTGCGACGCGGGTTTCGATCAAGTCGCTTTTTTATTTTTCGAACCATTTCTGCTGATGTTGCTGTTTTCTTCTGTCCACTTCCTTGACGTCGGGCTACGCTACCAGTATAACGGCAACAAGCGATGGTACGAGACACAAAAGATTTATTCACATTTAAATGCTGGAGTGCTCTAACGATAGCCACTTGTTGGTTTCCAGCGAAAAATAAAGAAATCTCGCTTGAGTTCCATCACGAATAACTTTTTTCTGGAAAATTCTCACCAAAATGCTTTTGTACGTTTGTAAACAATATAATGAGCTGTCACTGGAATAATTTTAACAGCTGTCGAACGAGTGGCTTAGACATGATGGCAGTCTGAAGATGGTTGCAGTTTTTTCATCTCACCCTGTATTTATTACTTTTATCAGTTCCCTTGTTTTTTTGTCTTGGATATTCTCCCCAGTAGGTATACCATATCTTGCCCCTTGATAAACGTTACATTTTTTCTCCACCTTGTTTTTATAAAAACAACAATAATGGAATTAAGCCGAACTATTTTGCAAACAATAAAATACTACGGTATCCCGAACAAACATACCAACACTGTTCTACTTTTTATTTATTTTTTATTTAAAGGTGTCCCTGGTCTTAAATCAATTGGTTCATTAGATCCCCTACATGTAAAACGTGCCAAGATCACCCAAGGTGCCGAAGGTAGTCCAATTTCGATGAACATGGAATTGGTAAATGCTGAACTATCCGGCCTGGGTGGAACCATTATAGATGATGCTGGGTAAAAAAAGCAAACTTTATATTATAATATATTAATGTAAATAATAATAATAACATTTAAATTTATTTAAATTTTGATAGATCTAATGGCAATAGTTTGGAAATGAAATTAAGAGTTACCGTACCTTCGTTCAAATTGACCGGAGATTACACAATGCATGGCAATATTTTAAGCTTGGCCCTGAACAGCAAGGGCAAGGCTCTTATGATATTTGGTAAGCAAATGTTCGGAGTTAAAAAAATGATCAGTGAAATTCAATTAACTAAAATATATATGTTGAGATCTTCTAAAGATACCCAATATTTAGTTTAAAATTGCTTGAATTTATGAAAATTATTATTTTTTTAAAAATCCTTTTGAGATCGCATGAACTTATTAAATAATATTATTTCTTAATCATTTTTTCTGTATTCTTTCTTTGATTTCTAGAAAAAGCCACCTTTACACTCAATTTCCGCCTGAAATTACGTGAAGATGGCGCCCAATCGTTTGCCGATGTGGAAAAACTAGATTTGTTGTGGGAAGATAACGGTGGCATGCAATTCCATTTGAGTAATTTATTCAACGGCGACAAGGCGTTGGAGGACAGTGCCCATGCCCTGCTAAATGCAAATTGGCGTGCAATTTTTGAAGTTCTTCGCCCAGCTTTGAGTCAAACTAATAAAATTGTTGTAAAAGACATTTTAAGTAAATAATGGCCTATGTACCGGTACACTATTATTTGGAATAATAAAAATTACGGAAAATGTGTATGTATGTAATTTTATGAGAAGAAAATGAGTTTGGGGAATAGGGACATCAAACATTGGGCAACACAAAAAATTTTCAAGAGATTATGAAATTAGATCTAAGAAGAGAAAATACGTGTATCGGTCTATTGAAAGTTTAGATGGAAAATTAAAAGAGGGGAAAAGTTCTTCCCTTTCCACAAATTTTCAGATCAATATTCCTTGAAATCCTTGCATTTAAGGCATATCGCAGCCTCGATAATATTGCTGATAATAATATGAGTATTATTCTGATAAAACATATTAACCATCAAGCGAGTCGCCAAAGGTGTCTTTTTGATTAATTTCTCGAAAAATCGTTAAAATCTCCTTTTATACGAGATCCTAGGAAGTCATAATATTCTACAAAATTGTTGGTCATGAAATATAGGTGTCAGAATATATCAAAAATCTAAAACTTTCCTAAAAGCCAATATTCCATAAATAAAAAACACATTTAAGGGTTAAAGTCGTAATTCATATGGGCTTGTGTGAAATTCTCCCACAAAACATCATTTTAGAAGGATGACGGCAAAGACGAAAATATTCTTCATCATATTTCACTATAAGTCACCAAAGACCAAGTTAGAAAATATAAGTCGGTTTTGCCGACAGATGTATACCCTCAGCCAATATTTGATTAGTTAAATATATTTTGACTTCTGCTATGATTATTCAAATTGTTGACCCTCTATGGAGTAGGTTCCGAAGGAATGGGCCAATATTGTCCATTTTGAATCGGACTTAAATAAATATGATATAAATATTGCGACGTGCCAGGTTTGGACTATATCGACTACTTCCTTCACTTTATATGAGATATGTGATAATTTTTAGAAAATGTTAAAATGTAGCCGATCTACGTATTCCATTGTTATACTTCATCTAATACAGATAAAGATATGGTATGGGCGAAATTAAAAGAAAATCGAACATTTATATCCAGGTTTCTGGTTGAGAGACATATTTTTAGATATAGCAAGGTGTAAAGAATCGCTGAGTTGTTTCGCAAGTTATGATAGATAAAAATATTGAAAATTGTACCCTTGTTGTGGGTGAGGTAGCAGAAGGGTTCGCAGATATATATCATTTTCACAACATTTGTGTGAAATTAGCGTTTTGAGCGTTTTGTTTTTCAAAATCTTGAAACCTATGTGGGCCAGGTAGCAAAAGAAATGGTCCGATATCTACCATCTTTATAACACATCTTGTGTTGATGGAAATATTGAGATGTACCAAGTCTGGAATGGAATCGGATTTTGATCGCTTTTTATGAGCTCCATGGATATTTAAATTTTGAGCCTTTGTGAAGGAGGTACCAGAAGGAGAGGACCGCTATATTCCGCCTCAATGCCAGATCTTGGGTTCATAAAAATATTTAGATGTGTGTAATTTCAAGAGAACCGGAAGCTTACTTCGGATTTTATGATCATTTTGGTTATTTAAAACTTTGACCCATTGTGGGAGAGGTACCCAAAGGAATGGTCCGATCTCTATCACCTTTATTACAAATCTTGGGTCGATGGAAATATTGAGATGTGCCAAGTCTGAATGGAATCGGATGTTAATTTCGCGTTTTATGAGCTGCATGGATATTCAAAATTTTGGCCCTTTTTGGTTGAGGTACCAGAAGAAGTAGACCGATATATTCCATTCCATATATATTCATAAAAATGTTGTGATGTGTGTAATTTGAAGACAATCGAACTCTTACATCACATTTTATAAAAGTTAGAACTATTCACAATTTTGACGCTTTGTGGGGGAGGTACTTGATTGAGTGGACCGATATTGTTCATTTTTGTACCTAACCTAGCACCGATGCAAATATTAAGATTTGCAAAGTTGGAGCAAAATCGGATTATCCTCTATCTTTCTGTGCAGAAAATATTATTATTATTTCTTTTTGAAATGTCGACCTTTTGTGGGTGAAGTACCAGAAGGAGTGAACCAATATATTCCGTCTTCACACCAGACTTAAGGTTAATATAAATATTGGGATGTATGTAATTTGAAGACAATAGGACTCTTACATAACATTTTATAAGAGTTATAATTATTGAAAATGTTGTGGGAGGTACTTGATGGAGTGGACCGATATTGTCCATTTTCGTACCTGACCTAGCACTGATGCAAATATTGGGATTTGAAAAGTTGGAGCAACATCGGATTTTCCTTTCTCTTTCTTTCTTTGAAAATTTCGACATTCTGTGGCGGACGTAACAGAAGGAGTGAACCGATATTGCCAATCTCCGAACTCGAACTTAGTTTGAAAATAATATTACGATGTATCACGTTTGGACCAAATCGGATACTCCCTTCGAGATTTATCGTGCGCACAAACCAAACAGACAGGACGGAAGGACGGACATCGCTAGATCGACTCCAAATGTCCTGAAACGGATATTGTCCAAAGATACCTAGGGTCTTGAGACGTTATTTCGATGAGGCACGTTTGGCCGTATTAATTGATATATACCCTCTAGTGGCATCAGAATAAATGCCGAATATTATCGCGAAAATATTCTGGAGGGTGTATTAAAGCCTTGGACATGCAAACATTTTGGCCGCAGACCTTGGACATTCCAACAGGACTCAGCACCATAGCCACCCACGAATGGTTACAAAATGAGGTCCCTCGCTTCATTTCCAGTGCACAATGGCCACCAAAATCTCTGGATACCAATCCGTTGAACTTTTGTGTATGGAGTATTTTGGAAAGCAAGGTTGGCACTAAAAAATACCAAAGTGTCGATCACCTCAAGCAAGCGCTTCGCTGGGAATGGGGCAAAATACCGCAGAGCAACATCTGGGCCGCGTGTAACGGAAGGCCATAATTCGTGCCAAAGGTGACCAATTCGAACAAATCTAAATTTATTCTAAAATTTGATGCTATTTCCGACATTTTTTGCTTCTATTCAATAAAATTAAAAAAAAAATGTAGACTTATGGCGTTTGACTTTGTTGCCGTATTTTTATTTCACTCTGTAGACGCATTGGACGACAATAATGAAAAATATATTTTCGTTGAATATCGGCCCCAAAATGTTGGAAAGAGTGGGTCCAGTCGAGGTCAACATTTCCATAAATTAATCTTCAAACATGTTACAATTGTTTTTACATAAAATCACAAGTATCCTCCATTTCGAATGCTTTGCCTAAGGAAATCTTTGGAACTAGAAACAAAATATTCTCCAATATTTTTTTTTACACATTCTAATCAATTAATCTCTTCTAGTGGTATAGGACGCTTTTAATGCATCCAATTATTCAATCAAATTTATTTACTAATTGCAAGGGCAATAACTTCCCCCCACACACGTGCATTGAATTTGCTTTAAAGAACGTAGAATAATTTCTTCCAATATTGCATATTTATATAGTCTATTAATGTCTCAATAGAATACCGGTTGAATTTGAATCAATCCATTGGCGTAGATGAGGTACTAAGGCACGTATGGTTGGTTGTGCATTGTGTGCAAACAGCTTGCAAATATTTTCAGATCCAGTATTGTAAATAATTTCCAAAAACCTATTTGGAAATATTTCTTTGCTCCCATTAATAAGTTTTTGCCCCGCCAATGTATTTCATGATAGAAACAAAGATTTTTTTCTACATCGTATATCATACGATGCATTTATAAGCCCATCTCTTGGTGAGATTTCTTGCAGTCTTCTAAATAACATTCCGATAGATAACAATTTATTTTAATTTGAAAATTTTAAAAATGAAAATCATTGTGGGGCTGTTTTCTATCACTGTTCTGATTTGGAACCTTGTAACCCTCACAGCGGCAGCAAAAGTCCTCACAGAAAAACGTAAGCCAACTCTGCTCTTGAATTTGAAGCAGAAATTTTGTAATTGCTTTTGTTTTGTAGCTGGATTCCTTACAGCCTGCAAAAGATCTGATCCTGCGTTTGGAAAGTGTTTTGCTACAAATCTTCAAAAATGTTTGCACGAATGGAAATCAGGTAAGGAGGAACACAATTTATTAACTTCCAAATGACCTGATCAGGGATATATCAGGATCAGGGATATATGAAACATCTTATTTTTATACCCTACACCACAAGGTAGTCAGGGTATTATGTCTTTGTGCATTTGTTTGTAACAGGCACAAGGAAACGAGATAGACCCATAGTTCCTTTTGATGATCTGCATAGAATCACATTCTGACTCGATTTATGCATATTCGTCTGTCCGTCTGTCCATGTATTTTTGTAAACAAAGTACAGTTCGCATTTATTGCCCTATCCAGATGAAATTTTGCACAAGTCATTTGTTTGGCCCAAGGACGAACCCTATTGGAGATAATCGGTCAAAATTTAGATATAGCTCCCATATATATCTTCGTCCGATTTGCCTTTTATTGTGCACCAAACGTGTAATATCAGTCCGAATAGTATGGAATTTTGCACGAACGATCAGATTGGACCTGAAAATAAGTATGCCAAATTTGATCGCAATCGACTCAGATGTAGCTATATATATTGTTCATCATCATATATATTGTTCATCTGATTTGTTATTTTTGTCCTCCGCAGCCGTAATATGCACTCTGTAACATCAATATTTGTGGAAATATATCAAATACAGCTCAGAAATACACTTGCTAAATTTTATCGAGATCGGTTCTGATATAGCTATAGCTCCCATATATATTGTTCATCCGATTTGTTATTTTAGTCCTCCGCAGCCGTAATATGCACTCTGTAACATCAATATTTGGGGAAATCTATCAAATACAGCCCAGAAATACGTTTGCTAAATTTTTTCGAGATCGGTTCAGATTTGGATATAGCTCCCATATATAACTTCGTCCGATTTACCTTTTATTGTGCACCAAACGTCTAATATTTGTCCAAATGGGATGAAATTTGGCGCTTACGACCAAATTGAGTCTAGAAGCTAGTATGTCAAATTTGGTGAAGATCGGTTCAGATATAGCAGTAGCTCCCACATATACTGTTCATCCGATTTGTCCTATTTGTTACCCACAGCCGTAATATGCACTCCGTAACAACGATATTCAGGGAAATATTTCAAATACAGCTCAGAAATATCTTTGCCAAATTTTATGGAGATAAGTTCCGATTTGGATATAGCTCCCATATATATTTTTATCCGATTTCAAATTAATTGTGCACCAAATGGGCAATACAAGTCCGAATTTAAAAGATACAAATGCTTCGGCATATTTAGTCCCTTGAACTTTAAACTATAAATATAGTCATAGCGTGTATGATTGAACTTTTAGTAGATATGCGGAGCTCTACTAAATTAGCAAAGTGGTGTAGGGTATCATAAAGTCGGCCCCTCCCGACTTTCTTTACTGGTTCAAACTCATTTTATGGGCCGTGTTCAAAATGCTCGAATGGCATTGTCGGGCATTTAACCAAAAATCCAAATGATAAATCATACATAAATATTCCAGGAACATGGACTTAGGGGAACATGGACCTGGAAGGTACAGATGTATGGAGACTATACCAATATATATATTAATGTTGATGGATCTACCCACAAGGAAGCCTAAATTCAAACTTGATACTACATCGATTGGAAAATGTGTTTAAGACCTAAACCCTAGAAACCATCAGTGGCCTCCATATCAAAATTTCAAAATTCCAGCTCTATCCTAAGACCCAATCTCAAATTTATTACCATACCTCTTGTACGGTTTTACTACGCATGTTCAAAAGCACCTGCTTCTCTCCACCCTAGACACCAACAGTGACCTAGATATCAAAATTTCAGAATTTCATCTCTATCCCAACACGCAACGGCACATTTTGTGTAATTTTGCATACGTTCATAGTACGCATTTCCACAAGCACCTTATTCTCTTAACTATAGCCATTAACAGTGACATCTATATTAAATTTTAGGATTTCAGTTTTTTTCCTACCTCCAATACCAAATTTAGTAACCCTTAGTTGTTTTTTGCAGAATTAAAGAACGCATTTTCAAAACAATCTCCACATCTCAAGCTCAGATACCAACAGTGTCCTTAATAGCAAATTTCAGGATTTCAGCTCTTTCCTTCACCCAATATCCAATTTAGTACCACTTAGTACTTTTTGAACAATTATAGTACACATTTTTTTAAACCACTTCCATGTCTTAACCGCAGACACCAACAGTGGCATCAATGTCAAATTTCAGGATTCCATCCTATCCCTTCACCCAATTTAGTACTTTTCGTACAGTTATAGTACAAAACCACCTCCATATATAAATTACAGGTACCAACAAAGACCTCAAAATTAAATTTTAGGGTTTCAGCTCTTTAATTTCTCCATTACTAAATTTAGTACCAGTACAATCATGTCCGAACCCTGTTCCTTTTCTCAACCATAGACATCTACATTAAATTCCGGTATTCCAGTTCTATGTCTTCACCCAATATCCAATTTAGTACTTTTAGTGCATTATAGTACACATTTGCAAAACCACATCCATATCTCCATTTCAGACATCAACAGAGACCTCAATATCAAATTTAAGGGTTCCAGCCCTATCCCTTTACCCCATACCAAATTGAGTACTATTTAGTACTTTTCGTACAATTATAGTACATATTTCCGAAACCACCGCCATGTGTCCAGACTACACATAAACAGCCACTTTAATGCCAAATTTCAAATTTCACGCACTATCTGTTAACCCAATTCCCAATTTAGTACCCGCGTCGCAGTGGCCGAAAAATGGTTCGCGAACTGAACATATCGGAATATTCCATTCAGCAAATATTGAAGTATCGGCTCGGGGTAAAGCCATTGAAATTAAAAAAAGTGCAAGTACTTACACCGCAACAAAAAGAAAATAGACTCAAAAGAGCTAAAAAGTTGCTTCCCTTGGCCGAAAGTGGTGAAATGCCGAATTTGGTTTTCTCCGCTCCGATGAGAAAACATTCGTTGTCCAGCAGTTTTTAAACAAACAAAATGATTGTGTTTACTTGCCAAAGAGGTCAGCTGGAAATGTACACCTTCGGTTGGCCACCAGAACTCAAGCGCCGGTCTTGGTGATGGTGTGGGCCGCCATAACAGCCGATTGTCGCTCTCCGCTCGTATTAATCGACCGTGGCATCAGAATTAATGCCGAATATTATCGCGAAAATATTCTGGAGGGTGTATTAAAGCCTTGGGCACGCAAACATTTTGGCCGCGAACCTTGGACATTCCAACAGGACTCAGCACCATCGCACTCAGCACGCGCAACCCAAGAGTGGTTACAAAATGTTGTTCCTCGCTTCATTTCCAGCGCACAATGGCCACCAAAATCTCCGGATACCAATCCGTTGGACTATTGTGTCTGGAGTATTTTGGAAAAAATACCAAAGTGCCGATCACCTCAAGCAAGCGCTTCGCCGGGAATGGGCCAAAATACCGCTGAGCAGCATTCGAACAGCGTGTGACTGTTTCATTGGCCGTTTGGCCATAATTCGTGCCAAAGGTGACCAATTCGAACAAATCTAAACTTATTCTAAAATTTGATGCTATTTCCGATATTTTTTTGCTTTCAGTCAATAAAATTTGAAAAAAAATGTAAAAATTTTTGCGTTTGACTTTGCAGTTTTTTTCTCTCACCCTGTATTGATATCAATGTTCATAAAATTGTATTCCCTCTTCAGGCGTTCCCGGTCTTAAAACACTCGGTTCACTGGACCCGCTGCACATCAAGCGTGCCAAATTTAGCCAGGGTGGTAAGAATGACATTATTTCCATAGACATGGATTTGGCTAATGTGGAACTAATGGGTTTAAGCGATGTTATTATCGAAGACATAGGGTAAGTCGAAAAAATGGAAAGATTTAAAAAGAGATAATTTGTTTCCCTTCAAATGCAACGCAGATCCAATGGCAATAATTTGGACATAAAATTCAAACTGACGGCCCCCAATTTCAAATGGAATGGTGATTATGCCATGAAAGGAAACATTTTAAGCTTGGCATTGGACAGCAAGGGCAAAACTTTTATGGCATTTGGTAAGTGGATAATTGGGTCTCAATATATTCGAGAAAATCCTTATCTCAAATCTGGTTACCAACCAATTTTTTTCTTTGAATACTTAAATCGTGAGACATGACCTGGTTACAATAATGGGTTGGTAAGCAGTCTTGTAATGAGTAATTTTGCTGGGTAAGGAATGTTTAAGCAGAAAATACAAGACAAAATTAATTTGGGACAATTTAGAAGTAGTAATTTTATGCTCTGTTCCAGAACTGCAATAATATGAACATTTGACTACAATAACCGATTTTTGCAAAAAAGTTGCAAACCCTGTAAATTCTAGCAGGTTTTTGGGACAATTTAGAAGTAGTAATTTTATGCTCTGTTCCAGAACTGCAATAATATGAACATTTGACTACAATAACCGATTTTTGCAAAAAAGTTGCAAACCCTGTAAATTTTTGGAACAAAAACCTGCTAGAATTTACAGGGTTTTTGGAACAAAAACCTGCTAGAATTTACAGGGTTTGCAACTTTTTTGCAAAAATCGGTTATTGTAGTCAAATGTTCATATTATTGCAGTTCTGGAACAGAGCATAAAATTACTACTTCTAAATTGTCCCAAATTAATTTTGTCTTGTATTTTCTGCTTAAACATTCCTTAGGCAGCATAAATACTCATTACAAGACTGCTTACTTAACATTGGCAATAATAATGAGTAGACATTATCACAAAAATGTTTTTCAATATGGTTGGAATATCCCGCATAGAACGGTAGTCACCTCTAATGGTGGGTATTTTAAGGTCTTCACCATATTTTTCAACTGTATGAACGACTCAAGCGCCAAATATTTGGGGCCTTGAGGACATTTGATATCTAATTTTAGCATCTCTGATCTCTCCTTCTTATCTTTCAGAAAAGCCCACCTTCACCCTGAACTACAAGATGAAATTACGTAAAGAAGGTGATTATGAATTTGCCGATTTGGAAAAACTACATCTGGTGTGGGAAGATAATGCCAACGTGCAATTCCGCTTGGAAAACCTCTTCAATGGCGATAAAGCTTTGGAGGATAGTGCTCACACTTTGCTAAATGCAAATTGGCGACCAATCTTTGAGAATCTACGACCTGTATTGAGTCAAACCAATGAAATTGTTTTAAAAGACATTCTAAACAAGATAATGGCCTATGTGCCGGCAAACTATTTTTTCGACGAATGAAAATTGTTTAAATAATAAAAAGAGAGAAAACAAGTAAGAATCTTATTGTATCTGGGAGCTTCCAAGGGCCTTCTGTAGATGGAGAAGCGTCTGACAGAAAAAACGTGAGGTGCGACCTTTAATGTCATTGTTAGAAGATTTTCAATTGACAAGTTTCGGATAGAAAAATGAGTCGAAGATTTTTTGGAAGCCAACTATTGAGAGATGATATTCAACAGGTCTTTCATGTAGGCCTTTGACAGGGTTTCCGTCAATTCGAGACATTTTGTGGACCTTTTTGGATAGAGTTAAGAAAAGTATGAACAGTACTGTATATTAGAAAAGCGGAATGAGCTCACATTTGGAAAGAGTCACTGATGGAGATGTACTAATGAGTTATTGGAAATTCGAAATTTTCGAAAAGTTCTAAAATGGTACTAAACTTCTAACATGGTACCATTTGGTATTATGTGAACGGATAGAGCTAGGAACTTGAAATTTGGTGTTAGAATCAAGGTTCGAAAATAAGTTTGATATATGAAGGTGGTTTTGGAAATGTGTACTTAGTGTGCGAATTGTACTAAATGGTACTAAATATGGAACAGTTTTGTGGTGAACGAATGAAGCTGGAATTTTGAAATTTTGTATTAGGGTCCCTTTTGGTGGTAGGTTTGTGATAAAGAGGTGGTTTTCGAAATGTGTACTGCAAGTGCACGGAAAGTACTGAATAGTACTATATTTGGTACAATTTGATATTGTGTGAACAGATAGTGCTTCAAATCTGAAATTTCGTGTAGTCTGGACATACGGAGGTGGTTTCGGAAATGTGTACTATTATTGTACAAAAAGTACCAGATGGTACTAAATTTGGTATTGGGTGAAGGGATAGAAATAAAACTCTGAAATTTAATGTTTTAATTACAGATGGTATCTCTGTTTGAGATTTGGCAGTGGTGTGGAAATGCGTTCTATATTTTTTACGAAAAGTACTAAATGGTACTAAATTTTGTATTGGGTGAAGGGATGTGGCTAGAATCCTCAAATTTGATAATGAGTTCCCTGTTGGTATCTGAAATTGATATATAGAGGTTGCTCTGGAAATATGTACTACATTTATTGTACATATTTCCGAGCAGTACTAAAAAGTACTATATTTGGTAAAATTTGCTATTGGGTGAACAGATAGTGCTTGAAATCTATAATTTGGTATTAGTGTCGCTGTTCATGTCTAGCCTGGACGTATGGAGGTGGTTTCGAAAGTGTGTAATTGTACGAAAATTACTAAATGGTACTAAATCTGGTATTGGGTGTAGGGGCATAGCTAAAATCCTGAAATTTAATATAGATGCCTCTGTTGATGTCTGTCGTTAAGATATGGAGGTGGTTTTGTAAATGTGTACTAAATTGTACGAAAACAACTAAATAGTACTATATTTGATACAATTTGGTATTTGGTAAACAGATGGAGAAATTTTCGGAAATGTGTACTATAATTGTATGAAAAGTACTAAATGGTACTAGATTTGGTATTGGGTGAAAGGATAAAACTGAAATCCTGAAATTTGTTATAGATGCCACTGTTGATGTGTTTTCTAAATTTGTACGAAAATTACTAATTAGTACTAAATTTGGCATTGGGTGAAGGGATAGAGCTGAAATCCTGAATTTTGACATGGATGTCAATATCGCTGTCTGTGGTTGAGAGAAAGAGCTAGTATGAACGAACGATTTTGAGATAGAATTCCGAAATTTAGTATCGAGGTCATTGTTGATGTCTAGAGTGGAGAGAAGGAGGTGGTTTTGGGCATGCGTAGTATACAGGATGATACAAACTTCAAGCAACCAACTTCAGACAGCTGTCATTTCTAAGCCACTCATCCGACAGCTGTTAAAATTTTTCCAGTGACAGCTCATTATATTGTTTAAAAACGTATAAAAACATTTTGGTGAGAACTTCCCAGAAAAAAAGTTATTCGTGATGGAATTCATGCGTGATAGTGTGATTTCTTTATATTTGGCTGGAAAACCACAAGTGGCTATCCTTAGAGCACTCCAGCATTAAAATGTGAATAAATCTTTTGTTTCTCGTTATCGTGATACTGGTAGCGTAGCCTGACGTCAAGGAAGTGGACGGAAAAAACAGCAACATCAGCAGAAATGGTTCGAAATGTAAAGAAGCGACTTCATCGCAGTGGCCGAAAAATGGCTCGTGAGCTGAACACATCGCAATATTCCAATCGGCAAATATTGAAAAATGAGCTCGGGGTAAAGCCATTGAAATTCCAAAAAATGCAAGAACTTACACCGCAACAGAAAGAAAATAGACTCAAAAGAGCTAAGGAGTTGCTTCGCTTGGCCGAAAGTGGTGAACTGCCGAATTTGGTTTTCTCCGCTCCGATGAAAAAACATTCGTTGTCCAGCAGTTTGTGAACAAACAAAATGATCGTGTTTACCTGTCAAAGAGGTCAGCTGAAAATGTGCACCTTCGGTTGGCCACCAGAACTCAAGCACCGGCCATGGTGATGGTGTGGGTCGCCATAACAGCCGATGGGCGCTCTCCGCTCGTATTATTCGAACGTGGCATCAGAGTATTATAGCGAAATATTCTGGAGGGTGTATTAAAGCCTTGGGCACGCAAACATTTTGGTCGCAGACCTTGGACATTCCAACAGGACTCAGCACCATCGCACTCAGCACGCGCCACCCAAAAATGGTTACAAAATGAGGTTCCTCGCTTCATTTCCAGCGTACAATGGCCACCAAAATCTCCGGATACCAGTCCTATTGTGGACTATTGTGTCTGGAGTATTTTGGAAAGTAAGGTTGGCACTAAAAAATACCAAAGTGTCGATCACCTCTAACAACTGCTTCGCCGGGAATGGGCCGCAGAGCAACTTTCGGGTAGCGTGTGACGGTTTCATTGGCCGTTTGAAAGCCATAATTCGTACCAAAGGTGACCAATTCGAACAAATATAAAATTCTAAAATTTTATTGATGCTATTTCCGACATTTCCGACATTTTCATTTAATAAAATTTAAAAAAAAATTAAAAATTATGGTTTTTGACTTTGTTGCTGTTTTTTTTATCTCACCCTGTATATAATAATGTTATAATTATTATTGTTACTACAATTACTGTTATGAAATTCCCATTGATATAATAGAGTAACCGGTTCAACAACCCCTTCAATATATCATTGTAATTATCATATTGGTTTAACCTATAGCCTCAGATTGGCCTAAACGAGATCAACAATACAAAACACACACACACACACACTTGTATTATTAATTGACACTGCCTGCCTCTCTTTGGCCTGCAGAGGCAAAACAAAACAAGTTTCCGTTTCAAGCCAATTATAAAATTATAACAAAATGCATATTTATTGGTCTTTCAAATCAGTTGCACAATAGTAGCGAATAAAATCGGAACTGTTTTTAGACTTTCGGTTTCTTTTTGAAAAAAAAAATGAAATATTGTATTTGTCTTACACTGCTGTTTTGGACAACTTCGGCGGTGGTGGGGAAAAAGGTTTTAACCGAAAAACGTAAATGGAAATAAATTATATAGAAAAATTACAACAAATAATACGCAATTCTGTATTGCAGCTGCATTTCTCAATGCCTGTCCCATTGAGGCCACTGATGTGGGCTCTTGCTTTGCCAAAAATCTTGAAGCAATGTTCCACGAATGGAAGGCCGGTAAGTTTTAAAACAAATAAAAAACGGTCAAAAATATGAGGTCAAATATGAGAGGGGCCAAATATTTTATACCCTACAGCTTGCTGGATATGTTATAACTGTATTTACCTAAGAGAATATCAAATTGAGTTCCATGTTCATTGAATTGAAATCTGGATGAACACATGTATCTATCTGAGATACATAAATCTAAATTTGATTCAATTTTTTTTCGGATTTACTGTAGAAATTACGTCAAACGTTTTTAATCAGCAATATAGTGTGAATTCAATATAAACTAGGTTTGATTGATTATTGCTAATAATAGAGGTGTGTGTACTATAACGCTCTACAACACAATTCAATTTTTCAATAATTACAGGAAACGTCCATTAGATTGTGAAAGTAGATCTAAGAATAGAAGACATGTGTATTGGCGTTTTGAAACTTTAGATTAAAGAAGAGCACAATTTTACCCTCTCCATTTTGTTATACCCTCCACCATAGTATGGAGGGTATATTATGTTTGTAATTCCTCGAAATATACATTTTGGACCCCACAAAGTATATATATATATATATATATATATATATATATATATATATATATATATATATATATATATTCTTGAACAGCATAAAATTCTATGTCGATTTAGCGATGTCCGTCCGTCTATCCATCTGTGGAAATCACTCTAGCATCCGAACGAAATGAAGTAGGTTCATAAAATTTAACTCAAATGTATATTATGTCTGCAGGACTATTGGTATTGAAAATGGGCCATGTAGGTCCACGTTTTGGTATAGCCTACATATAATGGTGCCTCCCTATTTTCAGTATTTTGATGATTTAAGCGACATTATTCACCGGAAATGTTTCAAATTTGGTATTTGAAGTTCGTAATGGATACTACAGCCTATGACAGAAAATTGTCTACGTCTTAGTATAGCCCCCATATGACGGTACCTCCTGATATTCGGTATTTTTATGATTTCAGCGACATTATTAACCGAAATTGTTTCAAATTTGGTATTTGAAGTTCGTAATATGTACTACAGCCTAAAAAATAAAATTGTCTATCCATGACCACGTCTACGTATATATAGACGCCAAAAGTTTAAATCTTACCTAAACGCCAGGGATTCATATATATCAGAGGCATATTTTAGGCTTAAGCCGCACTTTATGTGAGTTTGTGCAAAAATCTCCAACAAAGCATCATTTGAGAAGGATGACATCAAAGACAAAAATATTCTTCATCAAATTTCACTATGAGTTTGTGAAGAAAAGAAATATGTATTTACCCTGCATATCAAAATAAAAAATTGCATCAATATTTCCCAATCATTTTGATCAATTTTTCCTTTAAGTAATTTAAGTAATCAGTAATTATAATCAGTTATAAAATTATGGAAGTAAAAAACAACATTAACTCGACCGGGCCGAACTTTCATTACCATCCAACATTAGGTAACATTTTTCGAAATAAAAGTGTCTGGATTCAAACTTGTTCTACTTTACTCTGCAAATACCAGTGAGATCGGTTGAAGATTTTAGTAATAGATAATGTTGTGACACCGGTTGAAGAACCCAATATGAACTACAAATAACGAATTTGAAACAAATACAATAGAAAAAGTGACTTAAATAGTAAAAATACCGAATATTCGTACCGTACCGTATATGGTGTTATAGTAAAAGCTGTGCTATAGTAAAAGCTGGATCCATAGAGAAAATGTTCTGGCACCGGAGTATGGACCTGTTACAAACTCTCAATAACAAATTTCGAACAATACAATGGAAAATGTGACAACAATCATCAAAATACAGAATATCGGAAGGTACCGTTATATGGCTATGCGAAAACATTTTCAATATCAACCATTTTAGGCACAATGCAAACTATTGTGCCAAATTTCAAAGTTCAACAACTGGCATCGTGAATATATATATAATTTACGGGGTATAAGACTAATATTAAGAAGTTTTACAAACAGAATCACCAATTTAATATACCCTCCTTTCCAAAGTGGATGGTATAATAATGGAAAATCGCCCCCTCTACACTTAAATGTAAGGATTGAAGAAATCTTAAACCGAAATTTTCACAAATGATTTTCTTACAGTTTTTGACACTAGTGTGCTTTGATAGTAAATCGTTTGTTATGGGGAAAGCCCTACAGCAGAGAATATTTCTCGTTATGACTTGTCTTCCATCTCTCCAGTCTTATCACACCTGCTTTTCTTCCCTAGCTCAAAATATTGCTCTGTTTCAACAAAATATAAATGTTGTCTCTTTATGAGTCCTTTCAACAAATCTGTTGCCCTCCGACATCGACATTCTTTTACTTTCCCTGCCCCTGTTTTTTTTTGTGATTTTTTGGATATGGCAGTTAAGATCAATATTCACTTACCTGACTTGTTTTTTGTGGCTGCCGCAGATAATGATACTGGATATTGAACACCGACCGAGTATTCAGTTGATATTCAGTGTGATGGTGCTTCTGTAATCAACTGTGTTATTTCTTCACGGATTTTGTTGAGCGGTTTGACTCTGACAAATTTTGAAATCATTCCTTAAAAAATCAAATATTTCGTAATTCGTATCTCAAAACAACAAAGTTATTTTTAATATATACTCACCCTTGTTGTTCCTCGTCCTGATCCAACTACTTTTTAAGATCGATGTCGTTGAGGGGGAGTTATATTTTTCACCAATCTCATTCACTGAACCGTTTAGGTTTAAAATTGCTGACCTATGAAAGGCCGTAAAAAACAGCAAACTTCTTCATCCGGATAATGTCGCCAATTTTTATAAAGGTACACTTTGTTTCTTTTCGAAACATGTCTTTAGATAACCATCGACAATGTCTTCCTAATCAAACTAGATAACATCATTCCGGGCCAGTCTTCCTTTAAACAATCAAATTTTGCATTGAGAAAATGTTTTTGTTAATAAACATTATCCCATCAAATTTGTTTCAGATTCAACTGATTATAAAGTAAATCAGCTCCCACAAACTCGTTGAGGGCAATGGGATCAACTTTTGAACCTTTTATAGACATTTAAACCTTTCCTTATATTTTCCTCCAATGTTAAAGAGTGTTCAATTCAATTTTCGTCACTAACTTAAACTTTACAAGGGTGTATTCCAAAAGCACCTGCAATTTATCTTCTTCAGGTTTTTAGTTCATCATTAGAGTATTGTAACCTGTATTCCTTAAATCGCCCAAACATCAAACAATATATATACAGTGAACGCCATGACTGCAGGGACTATGTTGCGACTTGCTGCAGTAACGTAGTCCCCAGCGAGTCCTCTTCTTCGTCGTCCTCGTCAGAGACGTCGTCGGAGTATGGCACTCCACCGCAGTCTCCAGAACAGCAACCAACACCGCAGCACCTAACGCCACATGTTGCTGTTCCAACTCCGGATTGTGCATCATTCTTGCAATTCAATTGCAACGGACTTCGAGGCAAAATAGATGAGATAGTGGAATTTATGAGTCGGAGGAATATTAAGATCGCAGCGGTGCAGGAAACCAAGCTGAATGAAAATTGCAGCCTACAACGTTGTTATGGTTACAACGTACTAAGGAAGGATCGCACCAGAAGTGGAGGTGGGGGATTAGCGTTCCTGTTACACCATTCTGTTCAGTACAGACCTATCTCGCTTGAGCTAGTCTCTAGTGACCCATACATGGAATGTATGGGGGTAGCAGTCAAGTGTGGAACTGCCGAGGTAGAGGTGCTTAATGTGTATATCCCGCCGATTAATAGCTGTGAACCACGTTATTTGCCTGATATTAGCCCATTATTGGTAGGCAATAACCGCCTGGTACTAGGGGATTTTAATGCCCACCATGAGTTGTGGCATTCCGTCCTAGGTAATGACCAGAGGGGATCAGCGCTGGCAGAGCAGATTGACTGCTCCACATTCTGCACGGTTAACGAGGATGCCCCCACCCGAATAAGAGGAGAGTGTCACAGTTCGCCAGATTTAACCATAGTGTCACCCGGTCTGATAAATGACGTGACTTGGCAACCCGTCATTTCTCTTGGCTCAGACCATCTCCCGATAATCGTCTCCATAAGCAGGTCGCCCGATTTCATAACCTCTGAACGCCGCACTTTCCTTAACCATGGGAAAGCTCACTGGCCAGAGTTCAGAGAATTCACCAACCGCCGCTTCAGAGAACTGCCCAACCCTTCTGATGTTCGGGTAGCAGAAAGGATTTTCCGAAACATCATCAGAGCTGCAGCCGCTCGCTATATACCTGCTGGTCGAATACCCGAGATAAGACCAAACTTCCCAGCAGAGGCAGCGGGATTAGCAAACGAGCGTGATGATCTCCGTCGTACCAACCCTACTGATCCTAGAATCAGTGACTTGACAGTGGAAGTCAACCGGTTGGTACAGGAGCATAAGAGGAAAAAGTGGCTAGACCATCTGAAGTGCTGCAACATTGGAACCGATATGAGTAAGCTGTGGGTAACGGTTAAGTCGCTCTCGAACCCTGGAAAAAAGGATGATAGGACCTCAGTCACTTTTAACGACGTAACGGTGACTGATCCGAAGAGGTGCGCGGAATATTTTAACCGACAATTTGTCGAGCACCCCGAGAGTGATAGGGCGAAGCGAAGAGTACTACGTCGTATCAGATCTCTTCCCGCCGAGGAGGAACCACCACAGTTTACGATGGGTGATGTTGCAAATGTCATCCGTAACGCTAAGTCATCCAAAGCGTTGGGCCCGGACGGAATCTCAATGGTAATGTTGAAGCAGCTGGATACGCCGGGAGTCGAGTACTTAACAAAAGTTCTCAATTTGTCGCTAGCCACCCACATAGTGCCCGAAACCTGGAAAATGGGCCGGGTGGTCCCGCTACTGAAGCCAGGCAAGGATGCCAGTAAAGGCGAATCGTACAGGCCGATTTCGCTTTTGTCGCCAGTAGCAAAGACTCTTGAGGCTTTACTCCTCCCCAGCATTAGAGGAAGCTATGCAGTTGCCAACCACCAGCATGGATTCCGTCCACAACATAGTACCACAACAGCATTACACGCCATTTCCACACATATTAGTAGAGGACTAAACCAGAACAGGCCGTGTGACAGAACAGTGTTGGTAGCCCTTGACCTATCAAAGGCATTTGATACGGTCAATCATGCCACACTGTTTGAGGACGTACAGAGAACTACCCTCCGGCCAAGTTTGAAACGTTGGATAATCAACTATATGTGTGGACGCCAGTCGTACGTGGAATTCCGGAACAAGAAGTCCAAAGCCCGTAGAGTGAAACAGGGAGTTCCCCAAGGTGGGGTGATATCTCCGGAACTGTTTAACCTCTACCTTTCCGGAATTCCTCGCCCTCCAGACGGCATTGAGATCGTAACGTATGCGGATGATTGTACGATCATGGCGTCGGGTCCAGTGGTCGATGACATATGCGAAAGGTTGAACCCCTATCTCGCGGAGCTTGCCGCATACTTCCACGCGAGGAATATGAAAATATCCGTCACGAAATCAACGGCCACACTCTTTACCACATGGTCTGCGGAGATGAGAACACAGCTGAATGTTCAGGTCGAGGGGAATTTAATACCGACCACGAACTACCCCAAGATTCTTGGGGTAACGTTCGACAGCATGTTCAAGTCGTCCGCGCAAGCCACAGCTATCTGCGACAAGATGAAAAGTAGGAACAAGGTCCTCAAGGCGCTAGCCGGCAGCTCTTGGGGTGCGGACAAAGAAACCTTGTTGACCTCTTATAACGCGATAGGTCGGTCTGTGGTCAACTATGTGGCTCCAGTGTGGTCTGCGAATACTAGTGCTACGCAGTGGAAGAATATCCAGACCTGCCAGAACGCTGCCCTGAGAACTGCGACAGGGTGCCTCCTCATGACACCAGTGGACCATCTACATGAGGAGGCGAAAGTCCTTCCCTTACGTCAGCATAGTCATATGCTTTCGTTGCAGTACCTGCTTGGGTGTTACCGTGAGAGCCATCCCAACCATCACATGGTGGATAACTCTCCCCCACCCAGGCGTGTCAGGAAGGACATACATGATCTAGAGAGGGAGGTCCAGCGCTACAAGAGAGAGCCTCTAGATCAAGAAGCCTATCAGGCAGGTCTGAGTGGCATTCACACCGATGCAGTCGCGGATGCTATTAGCAGTTATAAAGTGAATGCCGTCCTCGGAGTCCACCCCCCATCCATTGCAGCAGAAGAACGTCAGCTGCCTAGACAAACCAGGGTAGTTTTGGCGCAATTACGTTCAGGATGGTGTAGTCGCCTCAATTCGTATTGGGCACGAATTGATGAAGATGTGCGTGACGCCTGCCCGGCGTGTGATACAGGCCCGCACAATACGCTACACCTTTTTAATTGCTCAGCCAAACCTACCCAACTCACTCCAGAGGATCTCTGGCTACAGCCCGTTAAAGTAGCCGAATTTCTAAACCTGGAGCTGGAACCAGATTAGCAGAACACAAACACACACATGTACTACTGCTACAACAACAACAACTGCATGAAATCACACAGCTTTTGTCGAAGCTGGGAACATTTGTCTTCACAAGGCTGGGAATATTGCCACTCACCGAGAATCAGATATTCATTTTTGTAGAATCGAGAACTAAATAAATCACTCAATTCGTTGCAGCAGCCATCAACATTAAAAGGTTTGGTTTTCGCGTTGTTATTATGTTTTTGTTAGTGAATCCCCATAGGGTCAATCATATCAGTCCACTGTAATAGTTAGAAGTCATCTCCATATCTTTCCAATATTGCCGGTGATATGGCTGACTGCAACCCGTAAACCTGCTGGTCTCTTGGCCGAGAATCAGCCGAGCGATAGACAATTATTTCAAGGTAAAATAGCAACACCTAGCCAATTGGTTGGCGCATACTTCTGCCATTTCTATTCAACGATCAATGGCACAGTGGCCATTAAAGCGGTAATCACTTCCACACACACTGGCGTGATAATCAGATCCAGGCACAAACATATACATCAACAGCTGATGTGTTTACTTTTTTGATCCGCATCTATCTACAATATATCCAACAAGGCGTAGATGTTCTGTCAAATAGTTTTTGCGATTGGTGATGGTCTCGAAATATTTGCCCCAGGCCCATAATCAGTTTATCTAGCTTCATTTTTAAGAGTTTCAACCTGTGTCAAAAATCTATTATTAAATTAGCTATCATTTATATTCGCCATTATACCACTTACTACATTTCTTTCAAGGTGTTCCCGGCTTAAAATCCATCGGCTCCCTCGATCCGTTGCATGTCAAACGCATTTCCATTGAGCAGGCTGTTAGTGGACCCATTTCTTTGAATCTGAATATGCAAAATGCTGAAATATTTGGGCTTTCTGGAACATCAATTACAGATGTTGGGTAAGTAAAGGATAAAAAAGAGCTAAAAAAATATAGAAAATTAAAATGTATTAATTTTTAGTACTGATGCAAAAAAACTCACCTTCAAATTTAACATCAATGTACCCGAATTTAAGTTGATCAGTGACTATGCGGTCAATGGGAATCTGCTGAGTTTGGCATTGAATAGCAAAGGCAAAGCTGAAATAATGATGGGTAAATTAGTGATTGTTATGTACAAAAAATGTATATATTTAAATTTCATTTTTCTTTTTTTTAGAAAAAGCCCTTCTAAATTTGGCCATACGTGTGAAAATTCGTGAAAATGGCGATTTCAAATTTGGTCAACTGGAAAAACTCCATCTGGTGTGGGAAGATGTGGGTGGCATGCATTTACATTTGGATAATATTTTCAATGGTGATGCAACGCTAGAGGATAGTGCCCATGCTTTGATAAATGAAAATTGGCGTTCCATCTTCGAAGTATTGCGCCCGGCCCTGACACAAACCGTTGAGGTTATTATGAAAGATTTCTTGGGTAAAATTTTGAGTCATATACCGGTGACATATTTATTGGATGGATTGTAAATAAAAAAGGAGATATCCAAACCAAAAAAAAATTAAATTTTGAATACTGAAATTTTTTTGAAATATTCGGATTAATATTACTTGGAATACTTAAATTGTAGGTAGGTATTTAGTGTCTTTGGCAATATTACTGCTGACACTACGAGAACTATTTTGTTTGAACATTTGAAAAATGGTTAAAAACCCCATTTAAAAGGGATATTTGGAAGTCAAAATATCCAAAAAAAAAGTTTTGGCATAAAACTCTTGAAAATAGTTGGATGTTTATTTCGATTTCTTTGAGCGTTTTGTTTTTCAAAAATCTTGAACCTCTTGTGGGGGAGATAACAGAAGAAGATGTATCAAGTCTGAATGGAATCGCATGTTAATTTTGCGTTTTATGAGCTTCATGGATACTCAAAATGTTGACCCTTTGTGGGGCGGTATCAGGAGGAGTGAACTGTCTACTAAGATTCGTCGAAGGTAGCACTCAGCACGGCCTTTGGGCCTGATAATATAAATAAAATATAAAGTTTTCTTCATTTTTTTTTCTGACAATAAATTCTCACTTACCTTACAAATCCTATTGGAATTCCACTTTTGATTTTCGAAATAGAATGCTGTTACAGAATGGGGGCTCTCTCCCAAAGAACAACATCAAGCAATAAAGTCCGAAGCCACACAGGGCAGTGTTCCTTCTTTGAAGTAAAACCCTGACACAAAAATGCAAAAATATGGTGCAGCTATTAAGTAAGTGTTTCTCGTCCAAGGCTGAACACAGCACGGCCCTCGAACAACGGCCTGGGAATACAAAAATACAGCCTCCTTCTATCTTTCACACAATATTCTTACTTACCTTTCACTCCTATTTTATCACCATTTTTGAATGTCAGAATACTATTAATGGCGGCTCTTACTTAAAGAACGGCTGCAAATAATAGCGCCAGAAGCTGCAGCCAAACACCAATGTAACAACGGCCGGGGAATACAACAAACACAGGTTCCCTTCTTTCTTTTTCACAAAATAAATTCTCACATATCTAACATCCCAATTGGAATTCTTCTTTTAAACATCTAAATAGAATGCTGTTACAGAATGGCGGCAATCACTCAAAGAACTCAACGTCAAATAACAACAACCGCAATCGGCCGTTAAAAACTAAACCAACGGCGGCAAAAATCACAAAGCCAACAGCTGTCATGGAATAACACTCTCTCATCCGTTTTGCTGATGCCTTTCTTTCTCTCTCTCTCTCACTTGCATCGACAAATCGAAATAATCGATTAATCGCAACGATAAGTCCAAAGTCGACGTAGGCATCCCATCTCTTTACAGTTTTACAAAGTTTACAGCTGTTGTAGACGCCAAGCGCGATTTTTTATGCAAAAGCAACATAAAACAAAGTAAATATCATTAAAATTGTAGTAAATATTTTGGAAAATTATCTTTGTGTGTTTTTGTATTGTCAAAGGGCGATGGAGAAAAATATTTTTATGCACGGAAAAAGTTCAATTTAAAGAAAGAATTCTCTGTGTAATGTGATGTGAAAATGAAATGCAATAAAATGTAGAGATGAGCTGTGTAAAACATAATGCAGAAACGAGAAAAAAATATCTACATACATAAATGTACCTAGCAAAAGAAAATAAAACAACGCCAAATAAAAGAAAATCAATTGTGAAAATTTACATAAAACCATGAAATAGAGGAATCGAATTGTTTTCAATGTGAAATAAATACAAAAATAAAATGTAATACCGTGAATGTGTTTTGCAAACAGCCAGGCAATAAAAGAAAATCGCAAAGCGAAAAGCCAAAGAAATTATTTTTGCAAATTCCCATCCATTTTTCTTTGCAGCAGCGCCATTTATTTTTGTGTTTGTTTTTTTACATTTTGCGGCAAGTTTCTGCTTTGCGATAACTGGTGGCTTGTTTGGATTTCGTGTCAAGCCGGAGTTTGATGTGAAAAATCTAGAAATTCGTAAAATGTGAAACATAAAACTTACCCTAGCGAGTTTTGGTTAATTTTTTTATTTCATTCTTTCTTAACTCCATTATTCTTAAAAAATACCGTGTTCATGTGAATGTGTGTGTGCTAGCTTTTCCAAATTTGTCCATTGTGAATTGCGTCTTACATTATTTTGGTGCTCGCTACCCCCACCACTTCAACAAAATCTCTTCACTTTAAGTTTATGTTTAGAAACGATCTTGTTTGTGTTGCGCTTTAGACAACAACATCAGCGCAGCAACAACAACAACACAAGATCCAAGTCAAACATCATTGACATGTTATACCAGTTTTTCTTTTTTTGTTCTACTTTTAACTTTGTGTTGAAAACAACAAACTCCATTTGTCTAGGGGAGGAGGAGAAGAAGAAGAAGCAATGTTTGGTGTTTTTATGATTTACTTTTTGCATTGCACTCGCCGACCTCTCTCTCTGTCCACGACAATTCTAATTTGATTTTTTTTTTATAAATGACCCCCTCTGAGAGTTGTTGTGTTTTCTTGTTTTATTTCATTTGTTTACCGTTATGGTTTGTTGTTGGTAAATTGTCTCTCAATTTTATGGGCAGCCGTAATGTACTGTTCAGTATGGCCAATGTTTTCTAATGGAAAAATCGCATTTTTTTGAAAATCGCTGTACATTTGAAAGAAACCTAACAAAATCGGTTTATAGGGTAAGGAATTAATGGTAGACGCTTAAGGATTTAAAATTACATTGTTGTTGAACAACCATATAGAAATTTGACGGTAGAAAGTAATACAAATGACGACAGAAAAATGCGAATGGAAGTTAAGACGGACAAGTCCAGAAAATCACGTACAGGGAATATTTTTTATATACCACTCTTTAATTCCATAACTACGAACTTAAATAAGTAGTTGCTTTGCTATAAGAGTAGGTTAAATTTAGAAAAAATACCTCTTTCGCCTTGAGCTTAGGAGCTTTATTATCACAGGTAAGTTTTCTTTTAAAATTGAAAGTATGGACGCAAAATCCATTTTTCAGTTCTATAGAATCGATTTATATTATATGGGTAGCAATAAGAAGCTTATGGCAATACCTAATACACTACAATAACTTGAGGTGAGATAAAAAAACTGCAACAAAGTCAATCGCCATAATTTTAACTTTATTTACGGAAATAGTACCAAATTTTAGAATAAGATTAGATTTATTCGAATTGGTCACCTTTGGCACAAATTATGGCCTTCAAACGGCCAATGAAACCATCACACGCTGCCCGAATGTTGCTCTGCGGTATTTTGGCCTATTCCCGGCGAAGCGCTTGCTTGAGGTGATGGACACTTAGGTATTTTTTAGTGCTAACCTTGCTTTCCACAATACTCCAGACACAATAGTCCAACGGATTGGAATCCGGAGATTTTGGTGGCCATTGTGCGCTGGAAATGAAGCGAGGAACCTCATTTTGTAATCATTCTTGGGTGGCGCGTTCCCAAGGCTTAAATACACCCTCCAGAATATTTTCGCGATAATATTCGGCATTGATTCTGATGCCACGGTCAATTAATACGAGCGAGAGCGACCATCGGCTGTTATGGCGGCCCACACCATCACCATGGCCTGCGCTTGAGTTCTGGTGGCCAACCCAAGGTGCACATTTTCAGTTGACCTCTTTGGCCAGTAAACACGATCATTTTGTTTGTTTACAAACTTCTGGACAACGAATGTTTTCTCATCGGAAAAAACCAAATTGGGCAGTTCACCACTTTTGGCCAAGCGAAGCAACTCTTTAGCATTTTTGAGTCTATTTTCTTTATTGCGGTGTAGGTTCTTTTGGAATTTCAATGGCTTGGGGTAAGCTCATTTTTTTCAATATTTACCGAATGGAATATTGCGATATGTTCAACTCACGAGCCATTTTCGGCCACTTTTTGAGTAGGAGCAAAATTCGTACAAAAAATATTCCCACCGGAATTTTTGTAAAGACACCTAGTTTAAAGCTGATATTCTTATCACACACAATTTTTTTCTGACCTTGATACTTTTTAAATAGCTGGCATTCGGCCGGGGCTTAAGATTTTCTCTTCTGCGTATGTCCAACACCGACTATTTAAACCAATTTTTTTTAATTTGTTGTTGTGACCGGGCTTACAAAAGTGAAGTAGAATTCTATCGGTAACATTTCGTTGAGAAAAAGATGATTCAATCTATTAAAAATCTTCGGTGGATGTATTAGCTTTTCCCTTTAATAACGTTTCAATGTTCATTTTAAACAGAATCTCAAAAGAAGCCAATTAAAAATAACGATAACACAAATAAAAAACGCCAAAGAGACAACATTGTAGCCAATGTTCTCTCACACTCCCTTTCTCTCTCTTTGCAATGTTTTGTTTTGATTGTGTTGATAACTCCTTCGTATTATGCTCCTGCCTGTTTTTTTATTCACTTTTTTGCATTTTCTTTTTATCCCCCTTTTATGGTTTATTATTGTTTTGTTGTACCTTTTTGGCAAAGGCTATGCACATACACACAATGTATTTACATGTGTATGTACATTGCCATGAACATGCACACACATCGCCAAAATATATACACAGAAGAAAATGGCAAACATGGCTGGCGTCTCGTCGTTGGTTTGCAGCTGTTGTGTTGTTATGGTTTGGTTTGTGTGTTTTTTTTTGTTTGTTGTTCTTTTATGTTGTCTGTCGACCTCTCCCTCGCGCTCTCCTTGCTCTCTTTATGTGTATTGTTGGTGCTATGTACATATTGCATTTACCTTGCACAATGCCTACATTCTATGTGTACCTGTAGGATTTATTGAATAAAGTAGTAGCAGCGACGGTGCTGGCTGCGGTGATCATCATCATCGGCGGGCAATAAGTATCGAATTGTCTTGTTCTGGCTGACAGACAAACAATTATCCGTGTAGCAAGTCAATGGTGTTTAAGAAATTCTAAAGAACACTACCTAACTTGTTCGATCAGAAATATGTATAAGTGAAGAAAACAATACATAGTCAGCTATATAAAGGATATGCACTGAAGGATGTGTACCTCGGTGTACAAAGTATCAAAAAGAGGAGATGGAAAACATAAACAACAGCTGTCGTTTGGACGAGAAAAAATGTTGCGTGTTATAAGATATCACCTGACGTTCCAGTTTAACCATTGTGTGTGTTGTTTGTAAGGTTTTGCAAGTTGTGGCCATCGCATAGAACATAACACCAAGAGTATAGGGATTTGTTTTCGAAATCGGTGGCTGTTGTAAAATTAATGAAATTTTTCAATTTTAACTTTTTTGAAGAGTTCAGCCAGGAAAACATGGGCACTAGTTCACAGCTCAAGGTCAGTGCTATCCACGAAATGCTAGGTCAAAAAATACTGCCTTATTGTGAATTATTTACAAATTTGTTTTGAAAAATTATAGGATAGGGTAAGTGCCCTGGGCTTAACTCTAGTTTAATAAAAACTCTTTCATTTTTTCGAAGGTCCAACAACGGTTACGCGAAATAAACCTTTTTTTACTGAAAACATTATTTTAATAAACTGGTTAGAATCGGGTAATGCGGATGGAAAGACCCATATCTCTGGACCCGAGAAAGGTATTAGCATAAATTGTAGCATTTTGGAAAGGTAAGAGAGCCAGCTATAATTTGCCATTAATTTTGTTGACCCCCATAATAGGTTCTTTCTGAACTTTTTGGGGGTTTTATAAAAAATCCGGGTCCAAAAAATAATAATTTTTGATAATTTTACTATAACCCATCATGTGACCACTTGTTGGATAGGTATTTTCATAAGCTTTCCAACGATACTATATTGTCTATATGGGGTAATAGGGGCCGTGTCCAGGACAGGTCTTGAACCCGGATTTTCTGGTCAAAAATCTGGGGTCAAGAAAAAAATAGTTTCCCGGAATCAGGTTAAAAATACCTACCTCTGGAAAAAATTTCGAAAAAAAACAAAGAGTTTTTACTAAACTAGAGTTGTTCCTTAAAAAATAGATTTGTTCGATTTGGTGGATGTGCGGTGATCGACACTTTAGTATTTTTTAGTTCCAACCTTGCTTTCCAAAATACTCCAGACACAATTCGTATTGGGAATTTTTCGTGGCCATTGTGCACTGGAAATAAACGAGGAACCCTCTTTTTTGTAACTATTCTTGGGTGGCGCGTGCTGAGTGCGATGGTGCTGAGTCCTGTTGGAATGTCCGAGGTCTGCGGCCAAATTTTTTGCGTGCCCAAGGCTTTAATACACCCTCCAAAACATTTCGCGATAATATTCTGCATTTATTCTGATGCCATGTTCGATTAATACGAACGGATAGCGCCCTTTGGCTGTTATGGCGGCCCACACAATCACCATGGCCGGCGCTTAATTTCTGGTGGCCAACCGAAGGTGCACATTTACAACTGACCTCTTTGGCAAGTAAACACG